GTCTTCCTCAGGAAGACTCTGGGGGAGATTCCCACCAAGAGGGTCCTGGGAAAGTGAAGGGGCCAGACACAGGGAGAGGGTGGGGTGCTTCTTGAAGTCAGGGCCAAGCCCGTGGACTCTCCTGGCCTCCACCTTAAGCCAGGAAAGAAAAGTGATCGTGGACGTAGCCAGAGTGCACTTTGTGCAGGCCGGTGTCACGCTTGAATCTTCCACCTCAAGTAGCCTGATGAAATGGGGGCTGTGAGAGGCTCTTGCCCAGCTACTGAGCGATGAACCCGGATTTGAAGTCACACTGGCTGGAGGCCCTTTGACTCGACACCAGCTGCTGCGCTGGTATTCAGCAGTAGACAGGCGCCTTTGGGATCCGAGTGCGAACAGGGCGAGGTGTGAGGAAGGCGGCTTGGTCCGGATTCTCAGAGCCGAGCCCTGAGCCCTCTGCACCGCTTCTCCAGCCTGAAATCTGGAGGAACCCGAGAAGCACAGCGGCAGTCCTCCATCCCGGCTGCCCGGGGAGCCCTGATTTCCAGAGCCGTCCGCTGAGGGGTGGAGGAGGGTATGGTCACTGCTCCTGGCGGCTGCCCCGGGGCTCCGGGCCTGGGTGGTGCCCAGGAGGTGACCCTCCTCGCCCTGCCTCTTGTGCTGGTGGTTCTGGGTAGGTAGGATGGTTGGGTCATTTTAATTTTCCTCCTATTTTTCCCAGCAAGGCTTGTGATTATTACATTAATCTTCCAGGCGAAGTTTTTACGACCGATCCCTCGCTGACTATGAGAAGTTTCTCCATCCATTACCAAGAGGGAAACAAACCCTGGTGGGGAGGAAAATATTTGTTACATCTTATCAGGCTGACACACAATCTAACAACAATTACAGCAGTCCCATTTTTTGCACTATTTCAGCTCTGGCGTGAAAAATTGTTGTAATATTAAAGTGAGGCAGGGTGGGGGCTGGTCATCGGAGGTGACTGGATCTTGGCAGCTCTGGGCCCAGAGCTCTCTTGGATGCCTCCAGCCAGCCAGTTGGGTGGCGGAGGAGAGGGAAAGCTTGTTCATAAATCCCAGCTCGCTGGTCCTGCGCTAATGGCCCCAGAAATGGGGCGAGAGTGGGAAAGGCCTGGAAAGGCAAGTCCCCAGCTAGCAGGGAAGTGGACCCCTCTGTGGCTCAGATCTGGTTGCTTCCACCTGTCCCAGAATCATTTGAGGGTATTTTGTTGGTGTTTTGGGAGGAAACTTGACTCTGCCACCAGAAAGCACCTTGGTTAGCCAGCCTTCTGCAGCCCCGTTTCTGATGAACCCCAGACACGCAGTGGGGGCACACTCCCTGTTGACGTCCATGGCTCAGACCCCAGGGTCACCTGACACCGCCCGCCCACCTGCCAGAGCAGGCGGCTGGGCTGACTGAGCAGCCCTGTTCTCAGGCCCAGGTGTGGGGTAGGGGTGTCAGCTGAGGGCATGGCGGCAGGGATGTGGTTTTGAGTGGCCCTTAGCCCTGATGGGGCTCTCCCTTCTGGTCCTACAGCCTTGGTTTCCTCAGCTGGCACAGCTGGGGCTCCTATTCCCCAGGTGGGGTGGTGAGGACTAGGTGCGGTCACCTGTGGCTGCACCATGCTCTAGAAATTGCAAAGTTCAGTGAAGAATCCCAATCCTTGTTCTCGGAAGCGGTGGTCTGAGCTTGTCCAGCGGTAGCCACAGGTAGGATAGGTTACCCCCCACCCTCAGGCTGCTGGTCCTGGGAAGCCCTAGGGAGCCCTCGCTGGGGGACCCTTTGCATTGGGCTTTTCCAGAGGTGGGGTGCAGCCTCAAGGAGGCCCCGAGGGGTGGACTGTGTCCCCTCCGCACCTGCCCCTACATACACACACAGGCTTGGCGCCCAGTGTGGGCCAGGCACCTCCCCCACACGACAGGCGGCA